AATAGTGTAATATATAAACTTCAACTTATTCATATATCGTCTTATGCAAATCGATACAAAATATATTTTTAAATTGTCTAGATCGGTAAATACCTGGCACTTGAGTTGGCACGTCACGTAGTAATGTTCTCGTTACTGAGACGTGCCAACTCAGATATCTATTCAACAGATGAAGGCATCTGCTTTTAAAATTCATGCACTCACCATATTCTCAGGGTTGTAATACAGAATTTGTACAAACAGGAATAACGAATTAAATTTTAAAAATTAATTTTGTATGTCGTAACATAACTATTTAAGGAAACGTTAACAAATATTTACAAATATAAAAATTAAATAACATCAAATAAATCGCTAATAAATTAATCACACTGGATTTTGTTTAAATCATAGTCATAACTTCAATGTCGACATAAAAACTAGTATCCGTTTATAATCCGGATATAATTCGTTACCGTAAATATAAATCGTTTATTTATTATCCGTGTTATCTGACTATTAAATAAATCGCAAATTTATTCCCCTTAAATGGATATCAATAGCGATTTACATATGTCAACACATTTATAACTATACTACATTTGTAATCATAGTATTTAAATGTCATCGGTCGATAGTAAATGCCGCTCGTTTGTAATTTACCTAAGCAAATTCTAAAGACTCGACAGATTGTATATCGGATGAATTCACAAAGCGACGTTCACATTATTCTGTGACATAAATAAGATTACATTCGATAACGCCAGAAGTCTAGTCTTGAATGCAACATTAAACCGGTTTATCTTCAATCTAATAACTTAGAAACACGACAAGAATTGATGTATTAATCGTGTTATACGTCAAAACTCATTAATATCTTTTCCATAGATTGCAGTTAATTGAAATATACATGTACGTAATCCGGATTTAAATATACAAATGATAATTAAACAAAATGTATTTTAATGCATACATTTTGTTTAAAAATTCTATAAAAGTAATATCAAATATTTCTAACATTTTGTTGCACAAAACTGTAATCTGCATGAAAACTTTTAGCGCGAGCATGCAATTAGTTCCGGTCGTCGAGTTTGCTGACAAATATTCGTACGATATTCAGATGTTTTTCCCAGTTTTCATAAAACCTTATTTATAAAGCCTTGAATTTCAGCGAAGTATTAATAAAGAAGTTATTCAAAATTAAATTGAAATCAAACGTTAATCAAAAGGCGCTACGCTATACTTATTTAATTAAATATTAAAATCCTAAGTTTAGCTACCTTTAGCTAATAATTTAATAGCATTCCGTTCATAATGTAAACATAAGAATTCCGCAAATCGGTTTTGTTACGGTCAAAATATACTACCGTAAAACATTTGTCTCCGTTATTCTCATATTGAACGAAAAGGACAGCAATATTTTTATACAAATGTCTTAACAGTGTGAACCCGGTTACAATTGAATGAACATTGTTTATGACGTATTAAATGTAAACATTCTAGAACGGCCGGCATCTCATAATCCGGCGTACGTGTGCACTCGAGCGACCTTTTTAATGTTCATTTAAACGTGCTACTGAATTTATTTAATTTAATTTATTCCACGCGCTTACGTTCACCATAATTAACATATTAACTTTATTAATAGACGGTTTATTTTAGATGGGTAGACAGAATTAGTTATTAAATTTATTTGACACCATACTTTGAAAAAATGTATATGCATTTTTAACTTTACTTAAATAAATGTAACGTTCAGAAAAATTATAGTTAGGTTCCAAACAAGATTTGGTAAAATCATTTACTACTAAATTTAGTCGCGTAAATTTTGAAAAATCAATAATTCCGAAAAATGGCGGCAGTAATCGATTTACTCTTGGAATCGATATGTCGAATGTAATCGAGATACTTCCAATTATGATAGCAAAAGATAGAGAATGAAACATATAATTTAAATTTAGGTATTAATTTAAATTATCTCGTATGTTTGTAGTTTATTTAGGTGCTGTAAAGTGAAAGGAATGTATAGTCTAGATGCATTAATTACGCTGTCAAATGATAATTATGCACTTTGAACATATCGATATATTTTAATCGAGTATAAAATTTAAAAGGACACATAAACCTACTCATTACAATTGCTATTTTTTACGAGTAATTACAATTTACTGAATGAATAATTACATGTATTAATTGTGCACTTTCGAATTATATTAACACTGGCTGCAGTCAACGACTTTTGTCACTGCGGTATTTAAAAAAAAACACTAACGTTACTCTCACATACATTAGTTATATTCCAGTAAGTCTCATCAAAATTGGCCCGGCCGTCACCGAGACCCGGAATATATGCTGATTTGACAGACGTCCATAAATTCATGTTCGCAAAAATGTTTTTTTTCCAAAAATGAATACTAAATAATTAGATAATTGATAAAAATATTTACATTTTTTCCTTTTAATATTTCAGTTATATATATTACTTACTGGTGCAAAGTCTTAGGAGTTAAAGCTTTACAGACTATTCAATAAATTAAAAAAAAAACGTTAAAATGGCGGCAAAAAAACCAACGATTTTACTTACTGTCACACTCAAAAACGTATTACAATTACTAAGACCGCCCTTAGGTTTCCCGTACTAAATCTGCAGTACGAGTCTCTTCTATTTTTTACGATTAAACGGCTGCAGCAGGTTATTTTTTTTAAATATATAGGATATACGGTATGGTAACCAAGGCAACGTAACCGGATATAGTGGAGGCGGAACAAATAATATGTGTACCTGGAACGAACCGAGGCTATGTCTAATACACGAATAGATAGGATCATGACTAACACATCCGTGCTTACTCCAGCTTGTGTCATAAATAATGTATCAATCAACCTTGCAGACATCATGACCCTATCTTATAACCTTACTAGTTGTCGCCCGCAACTCCGTCCGCGCGGAATTAAAAAAACACCAATTAGTTGCCTATGTGTTCTTCCAAGCATGTTCTACATCTATGTTAAATTTCAGCGAGATCCGTACAGCTGTTTTGGAGATACCTTGAATCAAACACCCATCCATCCAAACATGCGCATTTATATTAGTAAGATATCTTAAGGCAGAGTTCGTGTGTTCTTAATTAATTCAATGGATTGTTTATAGACCAACACAAATTAATTCATCCCAACAAAGCGATTCAAAACAATTTGTCAATGTTAGTTATTTCGTAGCAACCCTGAGCTTTGAAACTATCGATACTAATTACGCGTTGTTTCTTGTTTTATAACAAAAGAATGTTTACCTTAACCAAAAATAGATAGGTTTTTTCGTAAATATTTTCAGTTCAGTTTAAACTTGCAAGTGTAAATTTTACAACAGATATTTTACATTTTCTCTGGATATTTTTATAGTACACACTTATAACACTGCTAGCTATACACATTACGAAAAGAACAATAGTGAGGCATTTAGTGTGTACAATTCCTTACAGAAGTGGGCTTAGGACAGTGTTAAGTTATTCAAGGCAACAAAACCGGACTCTACCAACGGTATAACAAAGCCCACTTGAAACACTACAAAGTTTTGCTAACAAGATAGTCTATTGTGATAATTATTACATCCAACCTTACTTGTTAAGGTTATTTTTGTAAAAAAAATTCTTTTCTTTTATATAAAATAATTTCGTCATATCTAAACAAATCTTTACATATATCGATTTCTTTTTATATAACATAGCGGACCCTACATACGTTGTCCTGTCTATACGTCTTTAACTTGAATAAATTAATATGAAGTTAATATTTGATGAAAATTGTGAATCTAAACCATTCCCAGATCCCCTTGAACACATACAAAAAATTTCATCAAAATCGGTCCAGTCGTTTGAGAGAAGTTCAGTGACATACACACGCACAGAAGTATTATATATAAAGATGTACTTAATGCACAAAAACTAAAAACAAAATTCTTAGTTAAATATATTTGTTAATTTTTTTATCTGAATAATAGATAACATTAATTAATACAAAAAAATGTTAATTAATTTTTATTAATAGAATAATAAATAGGCTAATTCCTTATTAGATTAAATTAAAATTTATAATATGTATCTAGATTTATTTTTATGATCTTTGTTGTAGATTGATGTTAAATAATTTAGTACAAAGATTATAAAATTAATTACGACCTCCTTGACTTTATAATTTTATTATCTGTTGTGATTAATTTAAGATCTTTGTTTCTCGGGAATCAATAGAACAATATAAGATTCCAATACTGAATCTACACTAAGCACACCTCTTACTGTCCATTTAATGACGATTTGATATTAATTTAAATGTTGACATAAACCGTGACCCTAAATGACAATATTCAATGACGTCACAGTTTGTCAATTGTTTAGTAGAATCTCTGGTGTCATATTGCACTATGACTACTGCGCTACATACATTGAATCATCTTATGACACCATCCAATAAGAAAACATACTGTATGCAATCAACACGGCTTAGTGAGGGTCAGGTCAAGCGTGATCGTTAGAAATAAGTCGCAGTAGATGAAGAGTTTTAGAGTGTAGATGGCGCAGTAGTTAAGGGCTTAGACAGACTGAACAGAAATTTATATGCCCAGGTTTGATCCCCACCATGTCACACATTTTTCCGGCGTTCTTACCATGTAGGAAAACATCGTGATGCAACCTGTACATATCTACAATGAAATTCAAAGATATATATGAAGTCTGCCAACCAACACTGGGCCAGCATAGTTCACTAAGGCCAAGTCAACCCTAACTTGGATAGGCTCCGTGCCCATAGGTCAATAAGATAAATATATGAATTGGCGAAAGACAAACATTTTTAGATTAAGCCTTGTTTTGTTGTTGCAAGCAACGGTTATGGACAATGGACACATTCATATCTTTACTCGTATTTCACTGATGTGGACGATGTAAGTCCCTTAAATTCCTACACAAGAAGAAATTTATGGTGCATTGTTAGTGATAACATCATTTATCGTTGCCGTATTTTTTCAGTTGGCGGACAAGCTGCCGGCCCAGCTGTCGGAGCTGGAGCTGCGCCCGCGGACGATGGCCAAGCCCTCCTACACGCTCTGCCGGCTCAGTCCTGACGACAAGGATGCCGTGATCGACTTCCTCAGAAGGTATCACAAAGTTTTTGTAACAGCTTGTAGATGTTGTTGGAACCTTCGATGGAACAGTGGAACCATGCAGATATTATTGACATGATTGTTTATTATAAAGTACGTATAAAGTACACAAAAAATGTACGTATCATAATGTAAGGGATGTATTTTCCTAAGTAATCAAAATTCCTACCAATTCTTGCTTTAAAATGGAAAATATGTAATTCATTATTTTAATGTTTAAAGCGTGAAGTAAACATGGAGATATTAATAACACAATCAACAAGTTCTAAACGCTTAGAAACTTCGAAGCAGTTCTATTTCGCAGTAAATTATTTGGAACGGATTGAGAAACAGAAGCTAGTTTTTGTTACGATAAAGAATTCGATTTAGTTAAACGAACGCATTGAAGCGAGTAGACGACCAGGTCGTTCAACTAATGATAAACCTAACCAATTATAATTTAACAAGCTTAGTAATGTCATACTTAAGAATATCCAAGATTTATGTTAAACAAACTCTATACAAAAATTGTGCACAGACATAGTCCTCGAAAGACAAAGACGAATTTCGCAACGAATTATTTTAAAACTACGTAGCTACAATTTTTCTGCGTAGTTCACAATTATAAATACTTTTACTCCATTTTTTTGTTTTTAATTAATAATGCAAAATGTAGAGAGTGCTTGGATAACTTAATAAAATATGATTTTACTTGTGTAATAGATTCTTCTTCCGCGACGAACCCCTGAACCAGACAATAAATCTCCTGGAGACTCCAGAATCTAGATGTTTGGAGCTGGAAGATTACGCCGTGAGTACACTGCACGAGGGCGTGTCAGTCGCGGCTGTTGACGACAACGGAGACTTTGTGGGAATCGTTATTAACGGAACAGTTAGGAGAGAGGTAAGAATATTACAGATTACTTTTATTTTTTTAATCTTTGGTAGACAATTAGATCGAGAAAGGAAAAAGACCTTCTTAAAATATCAGCGATACGACTTCTAGTTTTGAAATCAAAATTTTGAATGAATTCTTTCTTCTTTTGTTGTCAATTTTATGCCTTACATCAATTTTATGGAATTTGTAACTTCCATGTCATCATTATTTTTATCTACCTGACAATATACATTGAAGGTATCGAGACTTAAATTCATTGTTTACTCAAAATCAACGAGTCATAATTCGAGTTGAAGTAAGGCTAATTGTTTATTTCGATCCGGCCACGTGCGGTGGCGACATTGTGAAATGAAACACGTCGTGAAACTGAATGAACACGTGCGCACTGAATGTGTAGACACGTTTGGTATGGAGGGTTAATATGGCTGTGCGCTGTTGGTCCTTTGAGCACGTGTCTTTTATATTAACTTTTATTTTTAATAATATTGTGCAAACAAAAATCATAATATGACATTTAATTTTGTGATACAACAACATTTACGTACAAACCTTGAATTTCAAAACTATTCCCAAATCTCACGTTTAAGTAGTGGCTCTCATCGTCTTGATACGTCACGTTAAAGGCAATAATCTAATAAAAGAAGTCCCAAAAGGGTCCAGATCGTTCAGAGAAGTTCGTTCGGAAGTGTATGATGTCGGAACATAAAATTCGGGGTTGACAAGTTGAAGGCGAAAGCAGCAGAGGTTCGTAGAAAACGTGTACAAGAGAAATTGGTAATCTCCACTCTAGTACTTATGGACACGGATTGCGAAATATGAGGTCGTGACAAAGAACAATAAATACATTTTATAAGGTAACGTTTCAGCGTTCAGAACACCAATGAACACCTGCGCGGAAGTTGCGATTTAAAATTATATTTATTATTCGATCCGCGTCGGGGGCGGCTTTGTTACAACTAAGGTCATGAAGTTTCTTTACCTAGAAGGACTTCTAAGTTCGCAATATAGAATTCTATCGAATCTTTTTCAAGCCATCCGAAGAAAAGAGTTACTCTTAACGGATCCGATAAGAGATTTAACTGTTTTAGTTTAGTATTTTTGACCAGTATTTTAGTTCAAAACTAAAATGAAAAGTGGAAATATGCACAAAGAATATAATTACAATTCTATGAAACTTACTATAACTTTAATGATTCAATTAGAATTATATTCAATAAAACTAAAGTATAGAGCAGAGCATTGGTAACAGTAAAATGGTTAACATATTAAGATAGAATTCTAAGAAAACATTTAACTTTATTAAAATTATTTACAATAAATGAAACTTAAATGCATATATAATAACAAAAGTATTTCTACCTAAGAAATAATTAAAAAATAATAACTTACTTAGTTAAAGTACACATAAACATATACTTTACCTTACTCCCCAAGTTATGATTTCTATAATAAAGCTATTTCTAATATTATATACAATTATTCAATTATTAGAAACTCGCCCAGGCTTAGCAAAGCTAGGTTTTAGCTTCGCTTATATTATTAAATAAATAAAAGCCTTATTTTCCAGCAAACTGAAAAGTTTCTGATTGGTTTAAGTTTTTTAAAACACGTTCAGTAGTTTTATATTTTATCTCGAACAACCAAATGTAAAGATTATGGAATACAGACCGAGCTGTCGTGTGTCAGAATTCCACCATACTAATGTCGTGAACCTAACATAAGCATCAAGCTTATTCGTTTACTAACATATAAGTTATCAACTTATTTTAAAATTAATATTATATTAAATATAATATTATTATAGATCAATGTATCCTATATCATCGCATAATAAGGAAGTGTCAAACTGTTAATTATTTTTTTCAACAATATACAAGAATAGATATTATAATTACGCCGCTGAATTACCAAGGCAATATAAAAAAGATTATAAATAATTTAAAAAAGATTATTTAATTATTTTGTGATAAATATAACTTTGTTCTTGTTAAATTTTAAAAATTTTGAAAAAATTACGTATTTTTGCTTTTTTATTTTTTTTCTAATTATGTTTATTTTTAATTCATTAAGAAACATAAATGGCTTGGACTAAAAAAAAGATTTTTGATTTTAAATTATATGGCACTATAAGTAAATAAATATTACTCTAGCTGAATTTAACAATTTAGTTTACTTCTGTTCCCTTTGATTCTATCCAATATATTTGTAATTACTACTTAAGTTATAATATTAAAAACTAAATAAGTAACTTATTTCTATTCGAAAAGAAACAGCAATAACTCTTAGAAAAATATTTTTCTACCACATTTTTCGTGAAAGGAAAATAATAAACGAGCACAAACTAATTCCCTTAAAAAGTTCCAAGTTTGCGACAGATGACAGAAAACCGATAAAAGGTTGCCTAGCAACGGAGCCTCAGGGGAAACCTGGGGACAATCCCCCACCTCTACGTCCCCGGTGTTATACAAGACCTCGTTGTTGTCAGAACCTTTACAAATTGAATTCTCTTTCAACATAACTTTCAATTACAAATTATTTTCATAGAGTTATTAAATTTATAATAATGTATATTATTCTTCACATTTATTGTATTGCCTTTTTAAATTATATAGTCGGGGTCTACACGATGTTTTATTAAAAATATAACTTAAAGATTCATTTATCATCTTTGCATTGAACTTGTTTCGTTACGATAGCCTAATTATCGTTAACTTAATCCAAGTTAACTTCTAGGACAGAGATGATGAATGAGATAAAAAAATTTATGGTTACTCGAGTAAATCACTTAATATAGATCACTTCTAGAATATTCTAGGGAATGTTCTAGTATTAATTGCCGAACCGTTACGTATATGATTAACAAGTAAAAGTGTACTACGCTCCTAAAAATCCGCTTCGTCGACTCTCGTTCAAAAAACAAATATGTGTTGGTTCCATCTAATCTAGATGGAAATAAGAACGTTATTCAATTCTCTGATATTTTTATTTCCAATGAAGTGACGATCCCATAAATAACAACATAGCGGAGATAAGCCTCGTTAAATTTGGATTTGATTAAGGTTGCGGGTCTGATGAGCAGGATAGGGGGATATCTTTGTTCCCCTAACTTTGCCACAGGCGCGCGAGGCACTTTGTTGCATTTTCAGTTGGCAAGAGTCCGACATATCTGCTTTAAATACCGACATAAAGGGGACCAATCTTTGTGGCTTTTTTGGGGGGAAGCCTACTTTCTATGAACTATTAACGTACATTTAAATAAGAATACTTATAAACAATTTATATCCACCCGCAGGAAGTCGACTACACAGACAAATCGGATGAGTGTCCGCACCCCAAGTTCAAGCGCATCCTCAAGCTGTTGTGCCACCTGGACAGAGAAGCTCGCATCTGGGACAAGCTGCCGCAGGAGTGCCATACTGTGATGGAGGTTCGGATAGCCTCTACGCACTCCGAGTGGCGGGGGCGTGGACTTATGAGAGTGCTCTGCGAGGAATCTGAGTAAGTTAAAAACTCGCCTTTTCCAATCCGATGAAAAAAAGTTACATCTCTAAATAGATTTCGTAAGAGTCGTAACTTTTGATAGGTCAATGTAATAATGTAGTTGAATATCCTGTTATTTAAACTTGTATCATTAACAAAAAAAAATAATAAGAAGCAAACACGTTATTTTAAATTAAATATAAGTTTATAAACAAGGATACCGTTTGCTGTATTAAGTAAACTTTATAATTGCAAAAAGATTTAAACATTATATTATTTTAGCTATCAACAATAGAACAGCTTTTTTATAACCTTAAAAAGATAAATTGAGTTGAGTTTATATGACAAAAATGTCCGTTTAAAAATTATTCTTATCTCTGTTTTGTTTAAAATAAAGAAAGAGATGACGATATGTTTCATACAGAGATTTTAGACTCAGAAACTCACTTTAAGTCATTTGTTTACAAAATGTTTATTTGTAATAATCCACAAGGTGAACTTATTGTGTAATTTTATAACTTTAAGTACAAAAAAAATCTGTAACATGTTAGTTTATCCTTGACATTAAATTAACACTTTTATGGTAAACAATTACTTGAGCCGTATCTTAATAATATTGCGCTTAAGTTATAATTAAATGGCTGCCTACAATTGTGAATTATGACGAATTACATCTTGTTATAAAATTAAAACGGACAAACAATGTACTTTAATAGCTTCAATAGTAATTTTATTGTGATTTATTCAATTCTTTTCGCTTCGATCCGCTTATTATGTTCAGGAATTTATCATAGTATTTTATTGTTCCGCGTTAGGTTATGGTCAAAACACATTAATATGTATAGCTTTGTTGCTATAGCACTTTAACAACTCATATCAATTGCATTCTTGTCATATCAACGATATTGTCATTCCTTTCATTCTCTTTGAATAAAAAAGAGATAACAATAATATTTTTATACAGGTGTGCCAATCTAATTTTATAAAGATTGTGACATTGGACAAACTGGTTAATTGGTAAAAAAAATTACTTTTACCCACGATTAAATTCAATTTTATATTCACTTTTACTAAATCACGAGGTAATTATTAATAATGAAACACATATACTTGTCATAGATCCCGCCAAGAGCACCTTCTCTAGAGATACGTAAATTATAAAAACTACTATAAGATGCCTACAATTCGTATAGATAACTCAAAAACTACTTGGGACTATTTCATTAAAATATTGGACCACTCGACAAGTGTCCCTTTTGGAATAAAAATATGACTATCATCTTAACTACGCCCTTGAATATTGTCAATCAGTTTTATAAGCTGACTTGACAGTCAGCAGACTGTACTGACGTAGCAGGTCGGCGACGCATCTGCGGTTCCTCTGGTATTGCTCATGTCCATGGGCGTCGTCGAACACCTCGGTATTCCCGCTGTCCGTTTATTCCCTCTGTAATAAAAAAAATATTAAATATTATAGTACGATTGTTTTTAATGATAACCAATTGAAATTGAATGAAGGAATACAATAATTAACTATGCCAACAAAACCAGATTTTAAACGCTACAATTTAGTTAATCGTAAATCGATAAATGTTAACTGCATTAATTGTTATCGTTTTCGAAAGGATTAACAGTATAATTAAATTATGTCATGGACAATTTCTTTAATACTGCTTGTCCTGTTAAGGTTAACTACGACGAGTATTTTTATTTACTAGACTAGCAATCGTCCGCGACTTGATCGGCGCAAAAAAAATGCCTATCATATGCCCGCATGCATCACCTACTTTCGTGTAAAAGTTCCGCCAAAATTATAGTACTCCAGCCTTGTGGACAGACAGATAGACAGACAATTATTTTACATAATAGGTTTTTCGTTATAAGCAACGAAAATACATGATGTTAACGATTTTTTTCAATAATATAAACAAACATTCCAATTGTGGTAATTGCATAGATGATGTCAACGGCGAGCCAAAGTCAAAATGTCAAAAAACATAGCGCGAGCCAAAAGTTTCCTTAAACCTGATATACATGTTTTTTTTTGATTTTGCAGAATTCTCAAGCGTTCTCAAAACATACCAAAGATTCATCACAAATGTTGATTTGTGAACGCATCAATGTAATTAAATAATTTCTATAATTGCTTTAACTAGAAGCATGCAAGCAACTGTCAACTAACTGATTAGGCCATAGTCAACCACGCTGGCCAATTGCGGGTTGGTTGTCTTCACACATATCTTTGAATTTCTCCTCAGATATGTGCAGGTTGTATCACGATGTTTTCCTTTACCGTACGAACGTCGGATAAATGTAGATATGTAAATCGGAAATCGAAAAACACATTGGTACATGGCGGGATTCGAACCCAGGACCTGCAGATTGCAAGTCAAGTGCTTCACCACTGAGCCACTGATGCTCTTAATTCTACATAGATCGATGTTAAAACAATAATTCAAAAGGACTTCAAGCAACTTTGACGTCAAGAAAATTGCATATACGTTTAGTTCCTTGTATAAAACCTTAACCCTGTTTACAATTACTTTGCCCTTTAATAAGATTAATAAATAACATAAGCTTGTATTATATCATTATGAACAAAAACAGCAATAATTACAAATGTATTATTGCAGATAATATCTGATAACGAAACAGCGTGACAGCCGGTGACAGGATAATGTGACAGTAATAAAGACGCTTGCATTATGCAATTGTGATGGGTGACAAAGTCAGGCGTGTCACGAAGGGCTGACACAAACATATTTGTTTAATTTTTGTCTATTGCATTTTTTGTAATATATTTCGCAATATACTTTCAATGTATATTGTTGTATGAATATTATCGAATGTTCGTCCGAGATGAACATCCAGCTTGATGAAATTCTTCAGAAGGGCGGTATAAGCACCAGAAACCGAGGTGTATGTTTGCGAGAGACATGTCGCCAAATGGAATCGCCACGGACTTTGTAATTCTTTGATTTTGCAGGCAAGATTTGTATTGTTGTTTGTTGTTGAAAATCATAAATCTTGATCATTTTGATAAATTGACAGCCCTAGAAATGTGACTTCGTGCTTAATGTTTTGTGTGTCTCGCGGCAATTTGTCAATTAGTGCGTCGCGTCCTTTAAGCCGCGCGCGCAGTTATTATCGCAACGAAAAGAAATATAATTTAATGTGTACTATACATGTATGTCATACAAGATAGTTAATTTCTGTTTTATATTTTCCAGGCGACTAGCCAGAGAAGTGGGCGCTAGCGCTATGCGTATGGACACCACTTCAGCATTCTCAGCAGCTGCCGCAGAAAGACTTAACTACAAGTAAGTCGAATTATTATACATTTTAAAATAAATATACACTTTCAAATTGAGTTGATCAAAGAGAGTAACTGTAGCCTAAAAATAAAATTATTAACGAGAAGATTCTAGATTAACAATTTATCCCCGCGCATTATTTGACGAATCGACCCATAGTGGACCTTTACCTTCGACTTAGTCTTCACTTGCTGCGATCGTGTGCCAACTGTACCGAGCATTTGACTTTTGTGATGATCAATTAATGATACATCGTAAACATATAAATTATATTTTGTACAGTCTGAGCATTAAATTCTGTTCATTGTTGTGTTAGAATGTCGTACAGCAGACTATCACCACAACATAAAATCCAAAATTTAGCACATACGTTTTTTCTTATAACAAGTTTTCTGATTCTATTTTGAGCTTCAAATGATAACAATTAGACGTGCTGTGATCACTGTAATAAGTTCTGTTTGCAGGAGTGTGTACGGCATTTTCTATGAGGAGCTGTCGTACGCGCCTCACCCAGCGCCGCCGCATCTCGAGGCCAAAGTCTACATCAAAGAGCTATAAGCAAAGTAAGTAACATGGTGTTCACGTATTGAAATTGAATACTGTAGTGAAGTTTAACAGATCTATTTTTAATGTTTTTTTAATGCCGTTCACTCGATGTTATCAAATATATTCCTTTCCTTTAAAAGGAAGAGGAATGATAATGGATTTCCGGTACCACATTTTTATTTTATCCGTCTTCTGTGAAGTCATACCATCTCGCTAGTGTTAGGGAACATACCATTACTACGTGACCTAGTTTTTTTTAGGCTGCATGCATACTTAAATTACTAATGAATTATGTATTATGAAAAAGTACAACTAATAGCTACGTGACAAAAACCTGAGCCACCCCCCTGCCCTCCTGTGACTGACCGTAGTATTTTAAAGACCCCCTAAACGGGTCCTATCATCTGCGCAGTGGCGTTTCCCTAATGCGCAGTTTTGTCTGCGTAGTGAGGAAACGCCACAGTGTTGATGCGACTGACTATAGTTTCAAACTAGTAAACACTATGGTCCATAAGCGTCTTTAATGGACATTCATTTTAAATAATTTTTATTTATTTTACAGAAACACCCATCAACAAGGAGTTACCACTAGAATTAAGACATAGTTATATAGAGCACGTAAAATAATGTCGCATCCACACTTGAGATATCTAATCAGGAAATTGTTTCCAGTTATCTTACAATAAATATGACTTAAAGCACTAATAATATAAATATAAATAATTTTATCAGTTATACTTCAGTTTCAATGAATTGTTTACATAAATTACGAATAATCATTCGATTTATAACTCAAATGAAGTATACTTATCAGCTTTCAAACAAGAGTTGCTTCAGAAAGTGGGTCTATTATGTATCTAAATTATTTATATTATTGAATTAAAATCGTTATATAAATTGTTATGTAATATTGTTAATATCCAACAAGCATGTTTTCGCATGACCTCTTTGGTCTACGATAATGTTTATTTAACATTGTTTTTGCTTTGTTGTAAGACTTCAAATGACGTATTTATTATTGTTACGTATATCTATTTAACATTTACAAGAAAAAAAACAAGTCTAAGCTATATTATAGGACATCCACAATAACTCTGCAATAATTAAAAATTCAAAAATGGCGTTCCTTTTTATATGTCAACTAGCTGTCGCCCGCGACTCCGTCCGCGCGGGATTAAAAATAGATGGCCGATTCTTAGACCTACTCAATATGCTCACAGAATTTCATTAGAATCGGTCAAGCCGTTTAGAAGGAGTATGGGAATGGGAAAATTGTGAAACGAGAATTTTATATATAAGATAACACCATTTATAATTATCGTATCGGATATTCTGATTCTATCAAATAAACCGACAAACATATTTTGATAGTTGACAAACCATTGGAGAATTATTGTGGTTGGAATATAAGGATGATTTCTTTGTATTTATTTGTAAGATAATGTAAATTTATTCCAGTTATAATTAAGTTATTCATCGACTCTCTAATAATCTAAGAGGTATATGGTCGACTTACCTGTAACATTAGTTCTACACCTCTTAATGCACACGGAAAATATGAAAAAAACGATTTTTGTCGCCCCCCTCGAAACATTCCATTGATTAGTGGGAACTTTATTTTTAACAAAAGATTTTGGTGCCTCCGAATTTCCCTAAGTCTAGAAACTTTATGTGATAACCCAAAAAGTAATTATAGACTGAAAAAAGATATATTATAACAAACTACTAAAGGTATTGAAAATAATTATTAAATATTGCATGAAGATCACAATAAATAGAACAAAATAGAGATAACTACGTTCTCAGAAATAGCAATGTGTTTTTTTGCAAAATAGCTCTTCGTATCCATCAGGCGTTTTGTTTGATTTATTTCTTTAGTACCAAATGTAGTTCCTTTAGATATATTAATATTTATATGCACGTTATATTAAGGTAAATTCAAAATTTATAACACTTTGTCAATTGATCGCTTTTATGTTTTTTTTTTTACGCAATTTGCATGTATAATCTCAATGTATTCGTGTGATTTAATTAAAGTTAGTTAGATAAAGAACGTTGTTTTTATTTTCTCCCATTTATGTATTTTCATTTAATTATTAATTATATTGTACAAAATAAGCCTAATTCCTTGTAAGCTTCTTGTGGTAAGAAAAAATATGTATTTGAGATATAAAAATCGACACAGAATTAGATAAAAACATGAGGTTTATCCTAATATTCACTAGCTGTAATATTACTTGTTTAGGTTTTAATTTTTACGCCAGTCGATGTATAATGTCCCCCAGGTACACATTTCTTATATTTCAACTCTCTCCGTATAAACTTCGTCACATTAAACGAAGATGTCTTGTAGTGGGTTTCATGAAATTTAAAATCGTTTTCTAATCCCATCAAATTTTAAATTTCCATCCGTCTTATTCAAATTTAAAGAAAAAAATTAAACATATTATTGAATTAATTAGTCTTTTATATAATTTTTTGCACATTTACGATTCAGTTATAAATTGCAGTAACAGGTATAGAAACTAGACATGATTACAGACAACAAAGCAATTTGTCGAGCGATAAAGCATTATTTAAGGGCAAGATATGTTAAAAAGTATAATACTTTTGTATTAACAATGATTTTGGGCATACGGACTGCTAAAGATTTCAAAAACTTAGACAACCCCTAAATACCCAAATAAACTGTAATTTATTTATTATTTTATAGTCAAAGTCTGTGCTAAAAACAGTGTTAGTAGACTTTTGAATATTACAATAACTAAACATATTAGCCGAAGAGATTGTATATTAACTAAAAATCGTACTGGCCACAAAGACAATGTACTTTGATTGTAGAAAAAAAAAATGCATGAAAAATATGACAACGCGCGGGAAAAGAGAATGAATTGTAATAAAAAGTAATAATTAAATATTGTGCTAAAATAAATAAATACGTAAATATTTGTGTTATACAAATATACATCGTTTTATATTATCTTTGATTAGAAATCATCAACTGTGAATAACTTTTGGAATACACTTTTTATTTGTCATCATCCAAAACGATAGAAGCCAATTCCAAGTAAACAATACTTCAAGACAAATCGTCCCTGAAAAGGCTATTGCAGTGTATTATTTTTTGACAACTTTGACAAACTTCACGGTCTTTTGATTAGTCACGGTCAAGTCTTAAAATTACGAACAACTGTTATTAGCTGTTTAGTTACCACCATTCCGGACAAATTGAGTGACAGTGTTTAAGGTTTCATCTCAAGTAACATTAGTCACATCGTGTTTTTCAATCACTTTTGTTCACCGGTTTTACCGCATATAAAAAGGAAAAACAACACCATACCTTAATGCATAGTACCTATATTTATCTCAAACCGTTATAATACAAGCGCACGCCAAGTCAACTGGTTGAGTCCTGGACAAGCTCTCGTGTGTAAAATATTTATTAATTATTGATTATAATTAATTTAAATAATATTTTTAAATCCGTAATAAAATAGAAGTGCATGTCCACGGGAATAAATCAAGAGTTTGATCTACGTCGTGAAAAGGTAAACGTGGCATTTTATACAAATTTTAATTGATGGTTATTGCTTTGTTTACTTTTATGATTTATTTTCAGTTGAAGATATTTAAAACACAATTTATAAATCTTCTAAAAAATAAGCGTACCAAAACTTTTATATATACAACGAAATTTGTTTACTGCGCATTAATTATTTGCATACAATATTGATTCATAATGTGGCAAAGTACTTAATGGTTTTAATAATATTGAAAGTTATCTATTACAAGAAATTGCATCAATTTTAAAAGTTTCAAATTATTATAACAAAAGTGAATAACCCATTGTTTTGAGAAAAACGTCCAACATAAGTCTAGCACAGTTAGGTTTCGCGTGGCTTACAATTGTTGACTCAAGTGCATATAATATTCTATATGAGTCTTAAACAATGCATTTTCTTATCTCCTTATCGAAAAGGATATAATTATTGTTATTATGCGAGAGTTGCAGGGCATTCACCTATCGGTCAGTGATACGCCCTTCACTTGTATGGCAAAGTTTTAAAAATAAATAATTCAACGCATTGCATTTGCAGTGTCACTTCGAGTCACTTCGAGCCAGATGCTAAAACTAATGAAGTTCTGGCAATTTTATACTAACATCTCAGTAAATCTACTTATTAGCCTATTTATGATAAAAAGAGTTAGTAATATAGGCTTTCTATTGAATTTATTTACTCCCACATGTTAAAAAGAGCTATACTACAGCCATGTACTAATAAAGTAGATTAGAAAAGAGATAAATGTATTTATTTTTTTATCGTTACGCCTTTGCAATCGAACCTAAACTCACGATATAAAATCACGAATTTTAACCGCAACACATTTTGTTTAGTAATTCAACACTTTCAATTACCCAACTAAACTTTTTACAAAAGAGATTGCTCAAAAGAAAATGTAACATTTGCACCATATTGTTTAATTTTGTTTTTATCCTACTTTTAGTACATTAAACTTTCAAGATGTCTCAAACATGTGAATTCACTGTGGAACCACTTTTAATGGAAGATCGCGAAGAGGTCTTGAAACTACTGAAAAGGTGGGCAAAACTTTATTGTCTTATTTGAGTCAAGATAATAACGAAATACTGTTTTAAGAACTTATATTTTCCGAATTACTAATAAATAGGGTAAAGTTATATGAAATTCAGGAATTCTTACAGGAAGGAAAAACGCTTCATAATATTTTCTGTTTTCAAGTTGCTTGAAAACCTATGCCTACTACGGTCGCAATTTATGTCATTAGTAAATTTTCAAGCATTTTAAAAGATATGTGTTGTTTTATTCTATGTATAGATTAACTTTGATAGTAATTACTATTCTACCGACATCAAAAAGGAGAAGGTTCACAATTCGTCTGTATGTTTTAAGGGTTCCGTACCTCATAGGAAAAAAACGGAACCCTTGTAGGATCAATTTGTTGTGCGTCCGTCTGTCTATCAAGACCCTTTTTTACCGTAAAGTACATAAAAACCTTGGCGGTAAAAACATCACCATATGATGTATCATATATTTATTGCTAGGACATTTTTCGTGGATGAACCATTAAACAAGAAGATCCAGCTGTGCCCTACCGGTGAGTGCGCGGAACTGGAGGAGTTCTGTTTGTCGCCGCTGCACGAAGGACTGTCCTTTAAAGCTGTTGACAGCAAGGGAAAAATCGTCGGCGTCCTTATAAACGAGACTTGTCCACTTAACGATGTAAATATAACTTTTTTAATTATTATATTGTAGAGACTGGGCCGATCTATACACGTTTAGGTTCGATGGCCAACCACGTATCAACGCGTTTTTATTTTTATTTTTTGAATTACATACGTACATTTATCCAACTTGTTACGGTGAAAGAAAACACCAACTTGAATATATCGGCGAAGAAATCCAGAGATGTGTGCACCCAAAAACCATACGTCTTAAAAATCAAAACCCTATCGTAACTTTGCAGAAAATTGGCATCACATTATTCGAGCGTGCGGAAGCAAGCAAAGATCCTAAGTTCAAGAAGATACTCCATATTCTGGCGAAAAGAGAGGAGGGATCACGACTCTGGGAAAAGTTTCCTAATGATGATAAATTAGTGGAAGTTAAAGTAGCAGCCACAGATCCAGACTGGAGGAACAAAGGAATCTTAGTCGCCTTGGTGGAGGAAACAGAGTTAGTTAAAAATATCTTTAAATACGAGAACGCTTTACAAGTAGAGTATATTTTTTACAGAATTCATTGTTTTCAAGACAAACCAGATTTTTATTTAATTTAAAATCATTAGGACAAAATTTGAACCCCTATGGGGCGTAAAGTGTACCAGAAATCTCGTACTAATTTTGCCATATTAACGATGACAATACGATGTCAGATATTCGTGCTAGACACACTGATTATTTTGTCCGTGTGGCCGCTTGTTCTCTTACCACATTGTATATAGCTACTACAATTTTGTTTTCATTGAAATAAACACTCCGTTTCCTTCAGGAAGTTACTTCGACAGCGCGGCGTGAGACTTGCGCGCTTGGACTCATCTAGCGAGTTCTCAGCAAGAGCAGCTGAGAGACACAACTTTACTTGCTACTACAAGGCGCGGTACACCGACATCAAGATGGCCGGCGAGCCCCTCATTGTGCCTGACCCACCGCATGTCTACGATCGTGTCTTTGTTAAAGAGTTATTCTAGACTAGCTGTCACCCGCGTCTCTGACCGCCAGTTATTAAAATAAAACTTATATAAAAGCATATGTATTCTTCCAGGCTATGCCAAATTTCAGCTAGATCCATTCAGCCGTTCTGGAGATACCTTCAACAAATATCCATCCATCCAAACATTAGCATTTATAATATTAGCAATATTCATTCTTGTGACAAAATATAGTTCAAAAACTAGTAATCCCGTCTCACTATTTCTATGACACTATACTACTAGATTCTTTGAAATCGATTAAGCTATCGAGGTTACAAGTTACATTGGCTTTCATATGTAAAATAACATATAGCCATCTCTTTCATCCCCCTTTAAAAAAACTGACAAACATCGGTTTATGAACTCATTTCGGCAGACTTTCAGGGAAAATTTATTTATTTTCTTTATGCTATATTAACTAAAACTTATAAAAAACAAGTATTATTAATAATAATTGTGTTCTTATAATTATTTACATTAATTATATAAATAATCAAATTTACACAAATTAAATTGAAAAAAATGTTATATTAAATATATTTATTGTCTTGTTACTTTACATATTTACTTCTGTTACTTAAGATCACAGTTTTCCGAACATTAAATGTAATATTCAATATAAATAAGACGTTATCTTCTTCACAACCTCAGAGTACGTAATGTCGTTACTTTTTGGCGCGCACACGAGACAATCGCTGCCATTTTCTTTTAAAGTATTACAGCGACTGCAAATCTTCATTGATTTCCTGTATTAGTAATATACGATTGAAAAAAGAAAATAATAAAAAAAACACTTTTATGCTTAAAACTCTGGTTATTGTGGAAAGATTTTTTTCAACATATAAATATAAGCCCTATGGAAAGGGGATGCCAGCATTCCAGCAGTCCAGCATTTGACAAAGGCTGATGATGATGACCTTTATAATAAATTATTATTAACCCATCCAACAGAGTTACATCTCTATGTATCTGTTGTAATCAAACAAAAATTATTGCCAAAAATATCTTTGTTATAAAAATAATTTAATTAGTAAGTACTGTAAAATAATAGTTATTTTTTGTACTAGAATCTTAGTGAACTGAATATTTACAAATGAAAATAATGATCTAAATAAAATTTACGAAATATCTTTATTAAAATATTCAACATGTCTACAAAATTCAATTAAATATTTACATGAAATATTGAGGTAGATTACTACAAAAATAACAACCATTTGCATAAGTATAATTTCCATTGATTTATATCTACAAATTATTTACAATGAATTTCTTTAAAATATTGTGATTCTTATCTACTCTATATAAAAATTGTACTACAGTTATATTGAAAAAGTCACTTTTTATCATTCACAAGCGCTTGCCCGAGAGAGGCGGTTGCCGCTGAAGGATTTGACGCTGCAACTATTTTCTCTAACATTATTCTTGTCTGCGTCTGAAAATTATTAGTAAAAAAGTCAATATACGGAAGATATGACGTGATAAGGTCATAAGAAAGGTGGGAGTGAAAGAGAAATGCATCACAAACTTCTAAGTTTGGATTGGACAAAATGCAATCGCTTCGAGGCGATTCCATAACGAATCACTTATGGAAAGTTATTCAGTTCCATACATTTTTGAAGTTAGCTATGGAATAGCTTAGGAGTGAATGCATTTTGTCTATCCCCTCTGAAAGCATTGGCCGATAGTGCCTCTACCATTGTTCAACTCTCTCACTTACACTCTCGGTGGCAAAGAGTCATGCTTTTTCTTACTTGATTGTTCATCAATTTAAAAGATGTTAAAAATAAACACTTCTAAGACATAAACCTACATATTTTTTTATTGTTTCTTATGCACTTGCTACAAGTTAAAGTAGGTACATGTTTGCTTTTAAATCGGATAATTCTTTTACCTATTGACTATCTCCCATGTCGATTTCACCTCCTCTTCCCATTTTTTCCTTATTGCAAAACTATTAGAAGTTATAATTTCACACCACACTTACTAGACAACACATGGAAATACTTCACGCCTATCATGTGTGTGATCGAACAGACAAAAGATGCAGCAGACTTAAACTGTAAAATCATCTATTACCTCATTTGATTTACCCCGAGCTGCCGCACGCACTTTATCCAATTCATCCCCACACATCATAGATTTCTCTTGTATTTGTCGACGGTGGGATAAATATGAGTTTCTGAAAATGTAAAAATTCAAATTTTTTTCAAAGGTGACAGTAGCTAAGTTGAAACATGGATTTCTTGGAGCTGAGGCATGAGCCTTCATCCGCCCAGAATAAAAAAAAAACTTAATTTGTAGCATAGGCTACTTACAAACACATAGGTGTTCTTCCAAATCATGTTCTACATCTATACCAAATTTGAGCAAGATTGATGCATACATTCTAGAGATACCTTTTAACAAACATCCATCCATCCATCCATTTGCATTCAAAACATTAGTAATTATACACTAGTTACTAGGGTATTATTTATAAATATAACAGGACAGATAAATTAGTACTATAAAATTTTCTATTAAATAAAAAGTAGCTATAATTATAACTTACCTGATGACAATAAATTGTAACAGCACTCCAACAAAAGCTATACCAAAACAAAGTACTATTATTGCTGTGTTTGGTAACTTCTTTACACCTTTGACGCCATAATAAGAATTTGAGTCTGTCTTTGCCTTGCCAGTATCTTGAGTAAAGCCATAGTAAGTTTTGTTACGTAAGCTGTAATTTTAAAAAGAAAAATTATGATATTGTTTGACCCATATGTTGCATATTGTTGCATGCATTTTGGGGTGACTTTATTATTGAATTCAATTGAATATTTTATTATTTCCATTGTTTTGAAAATATCAGTATTTTGTTCTATAGAAGAATTGGTAATATATGTGAATAAAAACTTACTTATATGGTACATGTGTTCTATAAACATAGCCACTGTTGATATCTATGTCTATTGTACTATCATACTGAGCTCTACTCCCCGGTTTGCTCAGGACATTGTAAGCTTCCTGCACCTGCACAAACTGTTCCTGTGCCCTAGCATTCTTATTCTTATCTGGATGGTACTGAAAATAATATAGTATATATTATAAATAGCAATTCATAATTGTTTTTAAAAAAAACTCTTTTTCTTTCTTTATACTATATTTAATTTGTTTCATTGGACATGACATAGAACTTTCTTATCATTGTATCAAATATCTTGCTTACTTGTTTGCTTAACTTTATGTATGCATCTTTTATTTCTTTATCACTGCAGTTCTTACGCAAATTTAAAACGTCATAATGAGATCTTCTTCCATAGCTGAAAGCAAGAGAAATAACAATTTAAATAAGAATGATACAAAGTACAATCACACAAAATAAACCAGTTACCTGTACAGTCGAGTACACGTATAAATTACTTTCAAGTCAGGGCGTTTTAATAAAAACATAACGATTTTACGCTTTTAGGTCCAAAAATATTTATTACAAAGTAAATCATATTATTCGCTAATTTTCATTATTTTTACTTAGTGCCAAATCATAATGACAAAAAATCTGTCAGTGTCAATTGCAGATAACTGTCAACTGACATTTGATTTCACGTTTCAAGATTTTACCGCAAATTTTAATTTGTAACAAATGTAGAATAGGGCTTACGAATTTATTCAATTAAACATAAAACAATAAAATGATTAATTCATCATTAACAGTCATATGAAAAAAAAATATGGTAAGTAATTTTATAATTTTTAATCATGGTAACAAATACTGTTTCTGGGAAAAGAATTTGTAATTTTTTCTTTCGCTTATTTGAGGGTATACCACCTTATTTCAAAAATTAATCAAAAAGTACCAAATTCGAATAAGATTGTTGAGATTTACACATAATTACGTTTAATTTTTGAATGAAATACGTACATACTGTGTACCACAATGAAATACCTGTATGATAACTGAGTGTAGTGGAAATGGAAATGTTTCGAAGGAAATTTAACGTAATAGAGTTTAAGATACGATTGATTTGTCCGCTGAAAATCGTCATCAGCTATTTGAATTTAGCTGAGAGCTGAGAACACAGCTTTGCTGTTTATAAGTTTATACTCTGCAGATAATGATACCGGCGCGCGACGATACAAAATAAGTGACCAAGCGACTACTAGCGACATAGTTGGTGTGTTCGGGCGCAGTATTCGCGCGGTCATTAGGCGGCGCGCGTGTTTATACGGTCATGAGAGAAGCGGGTACCAGGATGGCCGAGCTTGAGTTCGAGGCGCCGCTCGCTCAAATTGAAGATGCCGATGATTGTCTGACTTCGGTCGACTATCCTCAGAAAACCATAAACGGCAATGATATACATCTGAACCATATCAACAATATGAAAAGTGAAATGACTAAAATGAAAACTGACTCCAATAAAATAAATGACAACGATGTATCAAGATTGGTGAAGTGCAAACAGGATAATATGCAGAACGTCGAAGGCGATAATTTTACGGAGACCTTTTCCGGATCGCTTGAAGATCTGGTGAATACCTTTGATGAGAAAATTACTAAGTGCTTCGGGAATTACGAGGAGAGTGTTGAAAAATTCGCTCCGGTCCAAGTTCGATCCCAGGAAGAGATAATGAGCGAGTGCCAGTAAGTATTCATTTTAATCAAAAAAGCCTCTTAATTAGGATTTAATTGCTGATATCAGCTTAAATTTCTATGTATGATTTGCACATTTAAAGGTTAAAAGAATATCACGAAAATCAAAGTTATTCAAGGTATATTTTATGGTAAAAAATGTAATATTCATAGTATAAACAAAAGGGCGGGCTCTGCGCATGGCGCTGGTCTCCGGATCGATAGTTGTTCGAGGCGAGGGTGTCAGGGGTGCGTTCTGTAGGGTGGCTATGACGCATCGCGCCTCCACCCCTCTTTGTAACCAACCTAAGCTTTATGGACATATCACGCGATTTAATAGCGTCTGTAAAATTCTATGTCACCATCAATTGATTTATGGTCCATCCAATTTTTATCACAGGATCGATCTTCATCAAGAATAAATTTTCTCATAATTAAATTGTATTTATTTGATTCAGTTTCTTTACTTTTTATAGCATGGTAACATCAAGTTTCCCTATTGTATTAATAAGACTAAATGAGAAAGCTTTTTTGTTGGATTTTCCATTTTTGTAAGCCCATGGGAGATCGCGATACATCGCATTGTTCTGGTCTTTTTTCTTTAAAACAATACGTTCTCACGAGCGTTGTTAATGACATAACTGCAATGTTAAACGATGTATGTTTTTTGCCATTGATCTTAAAACTCCTTTTGGACAACAAGACACTGGTATTATACAGATAATTGGGTATTAACTGAAGAAAAAAATCTATGTTTAAGTTAAAAGGTTAAAGTAAAAAGGTTAAATAAAGACTATAAAGAGTACTGCATCTAGTTAAATTCAGAAAATTACAATTAAAAACTGAGTAAGACATCAAAAGTAGGTATACATTTAGCAGACGATGATACACATCCGCTGTTCCCCGGCCTTCCCCATTTGTTATATTGATTTAGCCGATCGTTTTGTAAACATAAGTTCGTACATCACGTGTCAAGCTGGATCTGGAAACGTTCCAGGTGACCCAAATGCCCGGCTGTCGGGAAAAAATACTCTCATTTTACAATTGGCGAACAACGAGAGATTCTGAAATTTGCATAACGCTTGTGTAGATTAACAAAATTTTTATAAACAAAAAATAATTTTAATGTTTCGACCAGATGAAATATTTTCTAGGTGAACTAAAAATATATGTAAGATTTCGTTTGTATTCGTAAACTTAAAATGCTCAATGATAATATGACAAAAAACTGCGTACCTATATGTATTTTTGTTCGTGAATTTTGACTTTTATTTTCTACTATCGTGTTCATATACTATGTTTATCAAAATAGTATCCACAAACATTCAACTCATACAAATTGGCGGCATGCCTGTCAAGTCTTAGAACCTCAAAGGTATGACCGGTGTCTGGCAATGTGAAGGATTTATTTTAGTTCAGCACCTGTCAAGACACGACAGGTGGTCACGATTTCGCACTGATTCCAATGCAGGAAGTGCACCGCAGATGTTTCGTCCACCTTGTCCAAGCTGAAGTTGCAAATTGAACCACAATTTATGTCCGAAACATATGGCGTCCTTCAAAATGCATACTAATTTAACTCTTAAATACTCGTTTATTGGATTGGTTAAAGTGGAAGTGTGAACTAAGTGATGATCTTTGCACGACTGTGTGCAAGAACTAATGGATGGGAATGTGTCAACAAAAAGGGTTAAAAGATATGATAATGTCAAAGTAAAGAAAGACAAAAGAGGATTGGTTATTAACCTATTGGCAGTATTAAATGTTTTTATGTAAAAGGAGTAAACAATTAGTTACTCAAGTTTTTCGTATGCGTACCGGTTAGTTTATTGGATTTAAATTCTACTGTTTAATTTTCAAGTCATCCTATACCTTGTCTAAAACTAATTTTCTCTTTTGCGTCAAAATGTAAATACAAAGTTGATCGGACACGTAGCTCACAAATCAGCGAGAGACGTACTTGTTATGCGCGATGCAACTTTGTTCGGCGCCCCGCACACGACACACGTCCGCAGCGATGCACTCCGCAATGAATAATGAATGAGATAAGGGTAGATTGATATTACGCTTTTGCGTATACAAGTCTTTAATTACTTTCCTTCGACTTTAGTGAAATTTCAATAGATTTATAGCAAAGATAGCTAATTCTTCAAAATTATTACTTGTATAGTTAAACTTTAGTTTGTATTGTAAATTATTTCGTCTGTTATAACCTGCGACCTTGTTTACTTCAACGTATTTGCGTGTAACAAAACTGATTTCATAACCACAAACTCGTAACCCAATAGCCGACGCTACTCGTATCGTTTTCCGAACAAAATTATTCGTAACCGATATAATATCGCGTGCCTGAATCAATCTACCACCTAATTGCTGCGGCCTTCCCAATTCCAAGACTTTCTAAGATACATAATTATGATTTTAATATGATATATGTTTTAATAAATAATAGCTATGCACTTTCCAATATTCAATGTCTTCATGAAATAAGAAAATATATTTTTTTTTCTTAATTGTTATTGTTTTACATGATATGTACACACTGTTATTTTGCTCATGGTTAGTGCACTCCTAGGCCCCTTAAATACAGGCCCAGCCTAGTTCGGGGTCTGCAAGATACTTCAATGTGAAATATTCTAATGTGTTTTTGTGAAATAAATTTATTCTTATTCTTATTATCAAAACATAGAGCTTATCTAGCGAATAAGCGAACGTATTTTTATTTAAAGTGATAAACTAGAGAGCACCATCTACACGTAGACCAAATATCTTGAAGGTTGCCTAAAATAGGACATACGAGGTAAGAAAAACTGAGGACAATAGCATAATACAATAGTATATATAGGGAAATAGAACCGGCATATAATGATGACAAGAAATGTGAACCCCATTGAAAATCCTCAAACCCATAATAATCTATACCTAAAATCTGCTTCACCCTATCACGGTCGTGATCGTTTTCATTAACATTTTAACAGTTGAAGATACAAGTTCATTGACCTCTAAAATATTCGTATCGATTAATCTCTTTCTTTGTTATTTATAAACATACAGTTAGAATTTTAGAATATTGTTTGCGTCTGTCATGTAATATTAATATCTAAGAGTATCGTCACATTTTACAACCTATAAATCGATAACTGTCTTTATTTAGTAATCGTAAAATTGATTACAAAATAAAAAATATAGTAAAACCAAATATTGATTAATATTTTGATTTAATTATCTGTTTGTGATATTCATTTTTTAATTTCTATTTTACAAAATATCTAGTATCGGAATTTTTATTTATTAATTCATAAGAAAGTAGCTTAAATGGTTATAAAATTAATTTAAATAGATATACATTAAACTACACTTAATTTAAATTCACAAACAAGCGCCATTAATTAATCCAACTAGATTTTGATCAGTCGCTCGTAAATGCAATCTAGCTCTTATCCAGGGCAGAAGTATCGAACGGAAAATCTAGAATAGTTTTACTACGTATTATACAAGAGTACATTTAATTTCTACACTAATTACTAGATTTTACATTACTACTTTAAGAAGTATTATATTTAAAAAGATGGCATTGCTTATTTAATTTCAACCAATTTTACTAAAACCAGTCGTATGTATACTTGAAGAGTTCGCGGTTTTAACTTCTAACAATTATTTAAACTATAATATTTGCTCAGCAAAATGCAAAAGCAATAAATGCATCTAGACATCTTATACTCGAATAGTAGACTGCTTCTGCCTTCTTATACAAGTAGCGTACTCTATTACTGTTGACGAAGCATTTCCTTTAGTACTGAGATATACAACATTATGTAATAAAATATGTCTTTAAATTTAAAAATCACTGATCCATAGGTATGTTACAACAACCTTGATTAAAACTA